CCGTCGCTGCCGCACGAGCGATGCCCCCCGCCGCCTGCGCCTTGCCGACGAGCTGCCTCTCCTGGCCCGCCCGCGTCGGCAGCGTGGGCCCGGCGGCGAGCGTCCGCCCGTTCCTCGCGGCGTGAGGGCTCGTCTGCAACATTGAACTCGCTGGGCACCCACCGCGGCCGAAGGCGGCTGTTGGTGGCGAGCAAAAGGGCCCCCGCTTGCTGGCAGACCCTGAGCAAATCGTACGAGCAGGCACGGCCCTTCGACAAAGCGAAACACAGCCCCATGTTGTCGACCAGGAGTAGATGCCGCTTTCCAAAATTACGGTGAGCCCGAGAAAGACGTCTGAGCGCTAGAATAACCGTCCTACCTTCCTTGATCGTGATATGTTCGTCCAAGAACTTCCAGGTACCATACAACACCACGTCCCAAGACTCCTGCTTCATAAGACATAGGGGCACTTCGGGGAAATCGGGATCCTCCGAGTACTTGAAAGAGTCCCAATCACCTGCATCGTCCCACAGACCTTCCTTCGAGACCTCCGGGGCCCAGACGCTCCCAGCCGTGACGAGGTCCTCCTGGGGGTCCAATCCTAGAGCACGAGACCTGGGGGCCCATTGGTCAGGAGCAAGTCGTTTGAAACGCCACCTCTCGTTCCACCTCCCCATCCTCCGAACTGATTCGACGTCGAGATCGCGCTGGCAAACTCCGTACCCCGTCGGCGAGGCATCGGTGCACGTGACCGTGGGATTCCACTCCTGACGAAGATCAGCCACGGCGAGTGGCAGAATACCAGTAATGATGCGACGCTCTTTGCAGCAGCTCGGCCAAAGACGTTCGGGCTCCGAACTCTGCGAGACGAAGTCATACACGTGCCGCGAGACTGGGAGCGTGCTGCGATTCAACATGGCGACGTAAATGTAATGTCCGATCAGCCTCTCAACGGTTTTCGCCGAAACCACGGGCCCTGAACTCAGCCAGTCAAACACGACGATCAACTTCCAAAGCTTGTCGGGGTCCGGGCTGAGGGTACCTGCATCGCCATTGAGAACCGAACCCAGCACGCGGGCGACGAGGGAAGGTCCCGAGATGTCGTGGATAGTGAAACCGTCCTGCTCCATATCCCTCTGAACAGCATCGCGCAACTCTCCAGCTCGCTCACACGAGAAAGCGCCGGCATTCAAATTATCACAGTACGCCATGTAGACGCGCTCGCCTGCCTGCACCTTCGGAACGGGGTGCCCGTCCACGAGAACGAAACTGTCTGAGACCTCCCTTCGGGCAACTTGCATATGGTATTCTTGAACCAACCAAAAAGACCAAGTAAACCCCATTGGTAACACGGTGAGACACATTGACACCTTCTCATCAACTCTGAAACCGTCCAAAAGCACCCCCGACACACCTGCATTCAGTAAGTCCCCCACGACCGCGTCAGCCTCAAAAGCGAAGAAATCTGAAAGCTCGTCCGAGATACCGCACTCGTAGAAACAGTCCTTGATGTCACCTTCGGCCCAATACAAGGCCTGTCCTACAGGGATCTCCAGGTCACTCAAAGAACTTAAACCACCTAGCTCAGTGTGGGGGGGAGGTGCGAATCGAAGATTACACTGGCGGCAGTCGAGGACAAGACGTTGCTTCCCCGACTTTTTCAAAACGGTGAACGCCCCGATACGAGCGGCGGGGCGCCGAGTGAACCTCACAAGACCCCGAGAAGCCATCCTGGAAGCAAACGCACAGAAGCCCCCAGGGGCTCTCAACAGCGGGTCCGTGTAAGGCGGCACTCGAGATGCCTCATCGGACAGCTGGCTCCAAACCGCTGCACCGACGAGCATCTTCTCTTCAAAGTTCTGAAGGCACTCCAGGGGCAACCCTACCAAGACTGACCCCAAATCCACAGGCGACCGCTCCACGTCTGGATGCGACAGTTTCTCCAAAACCATGGGAACCCGGGTGCCCTGACCCAGGTCCCCTGCATAATCATGCTTAAAAGCCCGAAGCTCCTGGAGGGCTCCTGGGCGGGTGACACTCGGAGGCTTGGGGCCCAGCTCACGCGCGCGCACGATCAGATGAGCAAGAGCAGCACGCTGGCACTGCGGCAGCGTCATCAGGTCGCTGACGGCCGGAGGGGCTGGCACATCACGAGCACCGTAGTACATCGAGTTGAGAGCGTCCACGGACCTGTTGACTGCGGCTGCCACAGCCCACCGACGCATCGCGCGCCGTGTCGTAGAACGGCGCATCCTTCGCAGGTCACCTCGGCGCCCTTCAGCGAGACGAGGCAGAGGGAAAATCTCACGATACCTGCTTGGGACGTTCTCTCCCTCAGAAAAGATGGCCTCGCCGCTGTGCTTGGCCATGACTCCAAACGGGAAGACAGCGACGAACAGGTTGAGTCAAGACCTGCTCACCACTTGGTGCTCACAGGCTCTCGGGGAACGACGAGACGCGGCCGAGCCACTCCGCGCCTCTAGTCCCGTAGGCTACCCAGCACCGGCGGCGTCGGCTCCCGCTCCGCCGCCCCTGCCGCCGCGTCCGCGGCCGCGACCAGGGGCAAGCGAGCGCGCCTCCGCCGCCTTGCGCTTCTCCTTCGAGATGGCCGCCTCAGCACGCAGCCGATCGGACGCATGGGCGGTCAGCGCCGGTGATACCAGCGCCCCGCCCGCGCGCATCCCGTCGCCCATGAAGTGGGCGGCTCCCTCGTAGCTCGGCGCGCTGGGGTTGGCATGATGGGCTTCGGCAATCAGCTGGCTCCTGCGCGCCACAGCCTCCATGCAGGCCAAGTTCATGACGTTGAGCCCGTCGTAGGTCACCGCCAGCTCCTGCGCCAGCGCTAAGTTGGCGTCCTCGTGGATCGAGCGATCGCCGTCGGGGACCTTTGCCTCGGCCAACCACTTGGAGTGCTGGGCGCGCGGCCCCTCCGCCATCTTGATCATCTCCCTGCACATCCACTCGGTCGTTCGTGGTCCACTCAGAGGCCAGTCGTCAAGCTCGGTCGCTGTCATCTCCTGCGCGGACTGCCTGAACTCCCGCCTCCGTGTCCCACCGGGACCATACTTCACCGACAGAGTCCGGACGTCGTCACCCGCCGCCTGGTCGTTGCCGTGGGTGGCCGTCGCCGCTCGGTTCCACTTGATCCGCTCCTCGCAGAACGCATCGATCTCCGCCTGGTAGTTGTTCAGCTGCTTGACCAGCACCGGCCTGGGCACCTGCATGTTGGGTAACACCATGAGCCCGTAGCCGTTCGCCTGCACCGCCCCCGCCGGCATCGTCACAATCTCGCCGATGCTGTGCCCGTCTACGTGCTCCGCGAGCACCCAGGCGACGGCGGGGGCAGCTGGCGCGGCACCGCCCGCGGCGGCGCCGGGCGCGCCAGCGGCCAGGCCGCCGGCTCCCCCAGCGGCCCCCTGTGCTCCTCGGAGGGCGACGACGCCGATCGCCTCGGCCAGCAACTGGTCTATCTCCGCGTCGGTCGGTGGCTGCCGAAATCGATGCAGCTGAGCACCGCCAAGTCCCAGCGGCAGCTCCCCGTTATCGCCCAAGAACCTCACCGTCTCGAACACACCCTGGTCGCTCATGTCCTCGTCGTATACATCGAAATCAGGGGACGCGATGGTGACCAGTCCCCCAACCGTATCATTCAGGAACAGTCGCTCGTGTGACAACTCCTCGCCCGCGCCCACGTACCTCACTAGTGCACGCCGTAGCATCGTTCCCCCTGGCCCCGTCGGCAACGGCCAACCGTCCGCTCCCCGCACTCGTGGTCCCGGTGGAGGTGGCGGACCGACTGCCAAACCAACCAACGCCATACTGTACGCACGTGACAGTCACCTGCAGCACGGAGAAGAACAGACAGACGAGCGCACAACCGACGAGCTGCCAGGACTGGTGACCCCCGCTTGGAGCCGCGACCGCCTCACACTTGCAGTGACAATGGCAGACAGGCTCCGGGATGTCTGGGCAATGGACCTCCGCCCGTCCTGCCGCCCGCGCCGCCTCGGTCGCGTCCGAGACCGCGCCTCGCAGCACCCACGCCGAGAAGGCTGCGATCACCCCGCTGGTCGCGGCGGGCGCGGAGGCGGCGGCGGCGAGGAGGCCCCAGACCATCCACCCGCGGGGAAGGTCCGTGCGCACCTGCTGCGCAGCAAAAAACCTTGAGGGTTGAAAACGGCCGCGGGGAGGCACGAGCAATGCTGTGCACCGCACTCTCATTCTTCTCTTCCTGTCTCATCCCTCTCCTCATTCTCGTCTTCCTGCTCCACGTGTTCCCCGAACGCTGTCCAAACTGGTTCCAGGAACACTTTGACCCAGTGCTTTAGGTCCGTCTTGGCCAGTCCTGCTTCGAATCAGCTTCAAATCAAATAGCTTTCTGAGTACGGAAGAATGACCCACAGAACTCCGAGGAATATCGCCCTCCACCTCCTTCTCCTCCTCCTCTTTATCGTCGTCCTCCTCTTTTTCTTTTCCCCCTGCTCGTCGTCATTCTTTTCTGATACACCTCGCACGCAAAGTGAAAAGTTCCACTACTCAAGCCTCTGGGCATGGCCCTCTGGAATATAACGATCTGGGCATGGCCCTGCCACATACCGCCGCCCCCTGAGTAGCCCAAGAGACTCCCAAGAGGCCTCCTCCTCCCTTCTCCTTCTTTCTCTCTGTCCTCCCCTTCCTCCTCCCCCACCGTGTTCCCCGAACGTTTTCCAAACCGATTCGGGGAACACATGGTCCGATAGCTTGGCAGGCCTCTGGCCACAAAGTTCGGCCACATAGGCGCTTCCGAAAGGGCAGGGGGCGGCGGTGATTCGCCGTAGGCGTGTTGACATCTGGCGAAGCGCACGTCGATTAGCGAAACCGACTGCGGACTGCACCGGTGCACTCGAACGCCAAAGTCGAGTGGGCCGGTGCAGATTTCCACTGTCGACTTCTCTGGGTGGGCGTCCTCGCAATGTCCGAATGTCTGGGAGGGGGGGAGAGCAGGACACCGGCGAACTTGGAGACCCAGGGGAGGTGGTCGCCCAGTGGTCGTCTGGGTCTTCGCTGCCGTCGTCCTCGGAGCTGGACTCGCTCTGCGGTTCTTGCCTGCGCACGGGCGCCGTGCTGGAGGTCGGGCGCAACGGAAATCAAGGATCGAATTTCTGACATCGGAATTCGAGGATGCACTTGTTGACACGAGTCTCGTCCTCTCTACTGGATGCTCCTCGCTACAACGGCGGGATCCCCCTCCGCACTGTGACCAAGACGCACCCCCACGCGGGTCCGACGGCCGATTTCTGGAGGAGGTCCCTCGGACGTGGGCGCAGCGAAGGATACCATGATACGTATCCAGCCAATTTGCAAATAGCCACGCCAACGGGCCCCACCCGGTACAAATAGTTATGTAATCACTTAGCTGGTAAAGTGTAGGATCCGTTCAGGAAACCGATTCGCTGGGGCCGATGTGGGGCACCACATACAAATAGAAACGCAGGGGACAGAAATTTCTACCGACCACACGAAAGAGGAACGAAAACTGGAACTGATGGGGTAAACGATACGGGCGGCGACGAAGGCGAAGAGAAAACGTTGGAGAGCATGAGTCTGGAAAACATGTGATGCGATGGTAAATGAATATTGCGTTGCACCGCTCACGCAAGAGTACTTCTATGTGGCCGCGTCATTCGTGCAGAGCAAGCGCGGAGCTGCCGGCTCTTCTGGCGGTTCCATCGCTGAGCCTCTGGTCACCCTGGGGCCTAGCGAAGCTGAGCTGTCCAACCAACTTCCCAGCCTTTTTCCTGCAATTCTCCGCATGGGCACTTGGTCCGCAAGCGCCGGGCGGCTTTCGGGAAAAAACTTCAAGCCCAGTCCGCGGAACACGTTCCAGAGAACAGCGTGACGTACACATGCATCCAGGGCCTTTTTAAACGACAGTTGCGCAGCTGGTGGCACCAAATACGGCGAGGTCCTGTTGTGGTCTGGGCAAGACCTTGCTACGAACTCATGAGAATGGCGACAATTGCACGCCTAGCAACATCCAGAGAGGCGGGGCCCCGTGTGGGTCTGGGCAGAGCCGCTCTCCTCTGGACGCCCCCGTGAGCTCACGAAAGTGGCGACAGTTGCGCTGTCGGCAGCACCCAGGGAGGCGAGGCCATGGTTGGGTGTGGCACAGCACTCCGCTGCGCCGCTCACGAGCTCAGTGAAGTGGCGACAATTGAGCAATTCGCCGATGCTAAGGAGGCAAGGCCCCGTTTGGGTCTGAGCAGCGCCGTTCTTACTTGGACCTCCCAGGCTCTCACGAAACTGGCGACAATTGCACAAGTGACAGTACCCAGGGGGGCGAGGTCCTGTTTGCCTCTAAGCAATACCCCCTCACCCTCCGATACCTATAGGACCACCCTTAGGGGGATAAGGAGGCCAGGGCGGGGGGGGGCGTCTGGGTGCAACTTTTGCTCTGCGATTCGTGTCGGGTTGGACTCGCGGCCACGGGGCAAACATGGGAAAACCGCGCGACAACCGCGGGACATCATCTCACGGGCAGCCTACCCACTTCACTCAATCTATCGAACGGTTTCACTAGTTCTGGTTCGCGATCCATCGTCCTCAATATCAACATATGCATCGGTATCACGATCTGTGGGGCCACTGTATATATACACACATATAGATACATACACATGCAGATGAGGCGACCACTGGACAACCTCAAAACGACAAAGGGGCAGCCACAAGACAACCGCGGGACAACAGCGAGACAGTCGCGGGACAACCGCCAGAAAACTAGAGGGCACGATCAAGACAACCGTGGGGCAACCGCAAGATAACCTCAAGGCAACCACCGACAACCGCGGGACAACCACAGAACAGCGACAAAACGACTGCTGGACAACCCCGTGACGACCGCGGGGCAACCGCGGAACAACCACGGGACAACCACAGGTCAACAGCGGGACAACCGCAGGACAACCGCGGGACAACCAGGGACAACCGCGGGAAAACCGCAGTACAACTGCGGGACAACCATGTGGCAACAACAGGACAACCACGGGACAACCGCGAGACAATTGCCTATCAGCCGGCCGCGCCATCGATCTATCAATTTCACTCTCAATCGGTTCCACGGTGCATCGATCCCAGTATTAACGTATGTATCACTCTCACTCTGTCTCTATCTATCGGACTCACTACATGTCTTACATTCTCTATGTATAAACATACATATATTAGGAGAGCGGCCGCGGGATAATCACGGGGCGGCCATGACACATCTGCCTATATACCGGCCCCGCTCCAATCCTATCTTCCAATTTCACGATCTACCGGTTTCACTTTCCAACGATCCCACTACCAATCAATATATATATATATATATATATATATATATATATATACCGCCCCCCCCCAGAATGTATCAGTCTAGCGGGAACACCGTCGAGCTGGATGTGTACATATGTATGTACATTTCTATACACATAACGTGTGCGTGTATCATAACGTCTATTTGTATGTATGCCTGCATGTGTGCAACATCTTGGTCGCGGGGCGCGCGCGGGGCGTGCAAGTGCCCCGAGCGCGTCCGAGTGGCCGGTGTGGTTCCGACGGGCAGTGGGCGCTCCCAGAAGGATCTCAAGCTGCCCCGAACGGCTGCGACGTTCCATCCCGCGCTGGAGCGTTATTGCTAGCGGGTGAAACGCTGGGCCTCGGAACGACTGCGTCAGAGGCCGTAAACCCTAAACCCTAAACCCTACACCCTAAACCCTAAACCCTAAATCCTAAACCCTAAACCCTAAACCCTAAATGATGTGCGATCCGAAATCTCCGCAATCTTCCTTGAAGGCCGTGGCGCTGCCGTGCGCGGAAGCCCCCCTCGCGGCCCGCCAGCGACCGACAGAGACGTGCCGAAGACGACGACGCGCTCGGGGCCTAGGAGGGACGAGTGCAATGAGGGCGGGCGGCGACAGCCCCCCTGCGCGTCGTAGGTCAGACCCGCTCGCTGGAACAATTGAGGCGCGCTATGCGTGCTTGTGTCCATGCCTGCAAGGCCCGCAGAGCGCTTCGAAAAGCTACTGGATAATTCCCCCAAAATTCGCAGCATCGCAAGCTGGCGAACAAGCAAGAAGAGCGCGCCGCACGCCTGGGGTGGGCATGCTGGCGCTGGCGTCAAGACGTCGAGTGGAAAACCGTCCGAATCACCATTACGAAAACAACCTCCGCGATAGCCTCAACCGCCACGGGATGCTCCAGCGCAGCATCTGGGATGAAAGTGGAAACCAAGCTGTTGGAGCGCAGGGCGGCTGTTGCACTGCCTGGGTCCTGCGCCGTGACCGCCGGGGCGCGCTCCAGCGCGCCCCCCGGCTCTGACAGGCTGCCGCAGACACCACGTCCCTAGGCGCGTCTTGGTGGTGCCGCAGAGCGAGGCCGTCGTTGACGCCTGCACGGGGGCCATGCTCGTAGAGCTGCCGTGCGTGGCCTGCCCTGTTGCTGTCCGCGGCAGGGCACGTGGTACAGGCGCCTCCTGGGGCGCGCACGCTGCACTCGTGGGGCGCATGCGCGGAGCCCCCGTGCGCAGCGGCAGCACACTGTGCCACCGTCGCACGAGCAGGAGGATCTCCACAGCTTCTTTTGGCAGCCTGCGTGAGGTCACAATGGCCCCCGAGGACGGCCATGGCTGGGGATGGGTACGGAAGCGTGGGTGGGCAACGACATGGGGGGGTGATCATACTGGGGATGCATTCCCGACGTCACCCTCTTCTTGGACCGATCGCCACCTGGCTCCTCCCACGGTTCCTCCCACCTTCGCCGACCTCTGCCTACTGCAGGTCGCATCGAACAAGCATCCACAGAAGTACTACCACCTCAGAACCTTTCGTTTATGTTTTCTTGCTTCTACCGTCTCGCACCTCCGTCCATTCACCTCCTCTGTATCCCAGAAAGGCCCACCTTGGTGTGACTCCTCCTCCTTCTCCTCCCTCTTCTCCTATGTCCACCTCCCCCTCCTCCAATCTCCGGGTCCTTCTCGTCTTGTACTAGTCCTGAACCTCCTACATCTCTGCCTCCTCCTCCTCCTCCTCCGTCCTCCTCATCGCATCCTTCCATCTCGCGGCCCCACCAGGTGGCCCACAGAACGGTGGGCACGCCGATGAGCATGAAGAAGTATGAATAAGTATGACAGATCATCATTTGGAGCCGAAGCGATTAAGAATGGAAGGTGAGGGGGAGGGAGAACGGGAGAGAGATCCGCCGTAGGGTGCCCACAATGATCGTGCAAGAACTATTATTCATAATGGCTCTGGTTTCGGATGAATGCCGCTGGAGAGCGAGCCCGTCGACAGAAGGAGGCTCGTTGCGGCCACATGTGTGTCCAGCCGTCGTCGAAGCCGTCTTGGGGGCTGCCTGGACCGCCTCAGGGCGTCCGACGAGAGCTCGAAGCCCAGCCTGGACTTCTCTTGGGGTCGCCTTGAAGGTCCGCTGGGCTCACGCGTTGTCTCGTGGGCGTTTTTGTTTTTCGGCGTTTCGACTTTGGGCGGAAGGGGGGGGGGTCTGGCTCCAGACCTCTGCTTAGTGCGACTGCTTGCAAACAGTGCGTCCGATGGGGGAGGCTCCACCTTCTCGAAACAGGCGCCCAAAACAGCCCAGATCCACTCCACGGGGGTGGGGGGGTGCGAGGGCCCGCGCTGATCGGTAAAACAATGAGTGAAACAACGATCACATTGGGAAAGCCGCTCAGGCTGTTTCGGAGCTCTTGGGTTAAGTTGGGTGTGTCCCCCCACAGGCGGATTTCGGACGACAATTTGAGAATGCCCCCAACATGCTCAAACATGTTCAAACATGGTAACAAATTGTCCCTGACCATTTTTTGCCTACTTTGGAATAATTATCCTGTAGAGGGTCATGCCCGACTTAACTTTTGGGAAAACCGCTCACGATGCCCCCGGGGGCCGTCTGGGGCCGTCGGGGGGGGGGGGGGAGCGGCCGTTCTCTCCCGGGGACTACCGCGGGGAGCTCTCGCAGAGCGCTCGGGAGACAGCGAGGAGTTCTCTCTGCTGTGGTCGTCTTGGGGGCTTCATTTGGAGGCCTGGAAATGAGCACCAACACCAACACAGGGGGTTGCCTCCACAAGGGGAAGAGAGGGCAATATTTCGGTCCCCTTTGAAGCCAGAATGTTACCACCATCACCGAGATCGGGATCTTCTTCCCTCGGTGGAGGCACACTGCCGATATTGAGGTTGGTGTCAACCTCTAGGCATGCGATTCTTGGCTCGTCTTGGGGCGTGTCGTGGAAGCTGCTTGGGCTGCTTGGAGGCCGTCGGGGGCCGTCGTGGGATCATGTTGGAGGCTTCCAGAGCCGTTGTCGACTGTCTGGAGCCCGGAGGAGCGAGGGTTCGAGCAGCACAAGAGCACTAGAGAACATGTGCAGTTCTGATGTGGGAAGCCTGAGACAACGAAGGGGAATTCGTTGTTTTGACGTCTGCGGGCCGTCCTCGAAAGCGTCCTGGGTGCCTCAACGACCGCGTCGAAGGCCAGACCGCGGAAAACATCGAACACCAGTAGGGCACCATAATTTGTTACGTCTTGGGGCTCCCCGGGAGAGCCTCTGAAGCCGTAGTTGGGGCGTCACGGATTGACTCGGGGAGGCTCTTGGAGGCAGCCTTGAAGCCTCTGAGGGCCTCTTGGGGCCCTTTTGGAGGTCTCTTGGGCTCCCTTCGTGGCTTTTGAGAACAACCTGAAGCCTCTTTAGGTCCTGACGGCGGTCTCGGGGGTCCTCTTGGGGCAAAGGGCTCGAGGTATCAGTCCCTCTTGGGCCGTCGTGGACATTTTTTTTTTGTTTGCTTGTTTTGTTTAGCTTTTTTCTTTTATATTCTCTATCCGCGCGAGCGCAACAAAATGCCCAGCCCGGATGTGGGCGTCGGCCCCTGCGCTGACGAGGAGGACCTCCTCGTCCAGCACTCGCGGCCTCAGGCCGTCCCCAGGGGCGGCGCGCTCGGCGCGTGCAGCGCCTGGCCCGCCAACGGCAGCGGCCAGGCCGCCGGCTGCGGATACGTCGGCGGGTACTCCTGCAGCAGCGGCGCACCGATCACCGGCGGCGCCGCCTGGATGATCTCCCGCAGCCTGTACGAATAGTAGAAGCCAAGGCCCGGCACGAGGCAGCCAAACACGAGGGACCACAACGAGAAGCCCTGCGCGCCGTGCTGCAAGCCCTGCGCGCCGTGCAAGAGGTCAACCAGGAAGCTCAGTACGGCCAGCAAACTGAACCCATGTAGACGGTCACGCAGCAACGATTGTTGTTCCTGGCCCCGCAGTAGCCGCAGAGAGGAACAACGCTGGACAGGGCCAGGCAGAACACGCAAGCAACAAGAATACACACCAATATGATCCTGATCGGGTGGGCACCATCGGGGAGGTCCATGCAGTCGCCATGCTCAGATCCCGCGGAAGAGCACGCCGAGTGCAGCGCCGAGAGCAATTGCTGGCACACTGCAGGCTGAATTTTGCCTTCCGCGCAGTCTCGCTCGAGTTTCGCGATGAGACCCGCGTCGGGAGGGAGCGCAGCCACGAGGATGCCGACTGGGAAGAGCACCAGAAACCCACAACAAATTGCAATCCAATGGTGAACCCTGCGAGACATTTCACGTTGGCTGCCAGCCGGTCTCTCTCTGCCGAGACTGGGCCATCAGCACCTGTGAACATTCGCAGCCCAGCGCTCGGCACGCTACGCAGTGTGTGTGAACCGCGTCGGCTGCCTCCGCCAAGCGACTTGAGCCAAAATGGCTACGGAAGACGTCGTGGACAGTCTTGGGCGCCTCTTGGACCATCTTGGGGCCTTCGTGGGCCTAGTTCGGGCCATCTTGGGAGCCTCTTGAGCAGTGTTTGGGGCGATCTTGGGGGCCTCTTGGGACGTAGTTGACGCTGTGAAGACCCAGGAAGTAAACAGGCTGGACATGCTGGACATTTATGCTTCCCAATGGAAGGGGTGTTGGGGCTCTCTTGGGAGCCATCTTGAAGCACTCTCGGGCCGTCTTGGCGGCCTCGTGGGTCGTCTTGAAGCTATCTAGGGCGATCTTGTAGGTCTCGTGACCTCTCTGCAGCCGTCTTTGGAGGCCACCTTGAACGGTCTGGGGTACTCGTGAACCCCATCCTGGGCATCCGACATGCGGCCAATGAACTGACCGACGGTACTTTGTCGGTCTTCATCTTGTCGGGACTTCTGAAACGGAATCTCTCTCCCTCTCTATCTCTATATATATATATATATGTATGACGGGGCGGCCACGGGACAACCACAAGACAACAACGTGGCAACCACAAGCTCACCACGGGACAACCGCGAGACAACCACGGGACAACAACTTGGCAACTACGGGACAACCACGGGACACCCCCAAGGCAAGCACGGGACAACCGTGGGGCAACCACAGAAACAACCGCTGGACAACTGTTCACTCTTGGGCACTGGGCCTCTTGGGCACTGTGGGCCAAGGTCCTCTCTGGGAACACCTGGACGGAAGAGAAGAAGCTGCTTGTACGGCACGTCCCATCGGGCCGCCGCGGACGTCGGCAGAACGGGTTCTCGCTCGTCCCCCTCTTCAGCCTCCATCCTGTCGCTCCTCTCCTCTCCTCTCCTCTCCTCTCCTCTCCTCCCTGTCCCTGTCCCTGTCCCTGTCCCTGTCCCTGTCCCTGTCCCTGTCCTTCCTCCTTCTCCTCCTCCTCCTATCCCTGTCGTCTCGGACCAGATCACCAGGTGTGCGCGAGCAATTGATAAAAAAGGGCTCCTCACGCAGACGCGGCAACTCCCCCAATAATTTCTTCATTCTGGCGCAAGCGATCGCAGTGGTCGCGGCCTCCCGCCTGCCCGGGATGACTCGGCCTGGAGGGGCCCCCACGGCTGGAGAGGACCGCGTCGCCCTGATTGCGGCTGCTGTCCGCGCGGCCGTGGAGGCCAAGGCGCCACGGCGGGCGGTGTCGGCGGTGGCGGGTGCAGTGGCAGCGGTCGCGCTTCGGGCGCGCGCCGCGCCGTCTGCGCCGCCGCCCGATGCGGACGCGATGAGCGCCAAGGCTGCTGACGTGCCCCTGGACGCCCTGGCGTTGCAGGAGGCGCGGAGCTCCAAGGTCTCTGAGGGCAAGGTGCTGCGGAGGCGCCGCCGCAGGCAGAGGCTTGCGGAGCTGCGCGCCGCCGCGCGTGCTGCGGACAAGGTGAACGAGGACGACGACATGATGGACGATCTGCATGATGCGTGGGCGGACGATCTCCTTGTCGTCGTCACGGCTGGAGATGCTGCTGCTGGAGCTGGTCCGCGCGCTGCGGCGACGGGCCCTGCGGAAGCGGTCGCCCTTCCCGACCGGGCGTGCTGGCGCGACCCCCGCGGCGGCTCCCGCGACGGCTGGTGCTGCGCTGGCGTGAGGGGCGACTGGAGCAGACGGCGCGGGCCTCGCCCCGCCGCCCGCGGAGGTGGCCGTCGCGGCGGCTGCGCCGCCCCCGCGCGCTGGGCGTGCTGCGGAGCTCCTGGCGGCCGCTCGCGCTGCTGCTGCGGCGGCTTCGGGCGCTGCGGCACAGCAGCTCGGGCAGCTGGCGGTGCGCCTGGAGGCGCTCGAGGGGCAGGAGCTCGCGGAGCAGCCGGCGCACGGCCGCGGGCCCGGCGCAGGGGGGGGAGGCGGCGGAGGGGGGGGTGATGATGCCTTGCCCCCCCCCCCCCCCCGCGGAGGGGGGAGGCCGCCTGCCCCTTCCCCCCTGCCCTGCCACGATGCTCGTCCTCGGCATGTTTACAAGACCGACGGCATGGTCGGGGACCTGGCACCTCAGGTGGGCAGGTCCCCGCGGGCGCGGTTGCAGCGGCGCCGCGCAGTCTCGTGAGACCCTTCCCCTCGGGGCTGTCCTACCTGCCTGCCTGCCTACGTCCAAGAACTTCCTGCCGCAGGAGGACGCGACTGACGGCCAGCAGCCACCAGGTGGTTGAGTAGCGCGCCGAGCGGTCCCCAGCGGCGGAGCAGGGTGCGGCAGTGGCTGGAAGCGCGCTGGCTTCCAGCTCCTGGGCTGCCCGTCGCGTGGTGAGGCGCGGCTCCGACGGAGCCCGCGCTGGGCGGAGCGGACGATCTCGCTTGGGGGGCGCTATTGGAGGGTCTGCAGCCCCTAACACCGATCTCCACCACAAGCGTCCACGGCGACACCAAGATCGGAAACCGAAACCGACCGAGACGATAGCGAAACTGAAACCGACCCGAAGAGACGGATCGCACGCATCCTAGGAGGGACGTGGCGGCGCAACAACCGACCGAGCTGAAGCGAGGAGATGCAGCCGACCACGAAAGAACCGAATCGACCGACCCACGGATATCCCCAAAGTCCCCACCCCTTCCCCTGGGGTAATTTTCGTACCAGATCAAATCTTTACGGTCCCAAGGCTCAGTAACATGCCCCAGAGGCCGAATTCGAGAAACACGCCCAGATTAAGATATCAGATCGTCGGAGATCTGAACCCTTGCGACCCCGACCTCGACCTCCTGCCCCGCGACCACGCCGGCGCAGCAGAGAAGGCCACGGCCTAGTGCACAGTCTCCTCCCGCTCTCCCCTCGTTTTGAACCGCGCGTGGAGCCAGGAGAGCGGGGAAGGACGAGGAGGACGAGGACGAGGAGGAGAAGGAGGAGGAGGAGATGGAGGATGAGGAGGAGGAGGAGGAGGTGGAGCAGGAGGAGAGAGGAGAAGGACCAGGAGGAGAAATGAGGAGGATGATGAGGAGGAGGAGGAGGAGGAGGAGGACCATATGATACCCAATATGCATCAACAATGCTGCAATACAGCTTCACGTCCCGAACTCCCCATTATAATTCCCTACATGCCTTCCTGTTCACTACGAGCAACGCCTCGTTGAAAGACCAGCACCCTGGGGGCCTGCCGTTCACGGGAGGGCCCCATTTTGAAAAGGAATTGACGTGCATCTTTGCATCCTCCCAGCGAGCGATAACGCATGCGACATTTTTTGATCATACAACGAAGACAGTTTTCAACGATATTACCGCTTTTAGAACATGCGCCCACCGTATCACTATTGCACGCGTTTGCACTTCAAGTCGCGCGCTTCGATGAATTCTCAGGCGGTAGCCCCATTTTGAAGCGGAGCCGCCCTTCATCCGAGCAGCTGTTACGCATGTTCAAGTTGTTGCTGTCGCAAGCCGTGGAAGTCTCAAGCGGCAGCCCCATGTTGAAGGGATCCGTCCTTCATTCCCGCAACTGTTGCCAACGTTTGCGACGAATGTGCGCCGCGTTAGGCAAGAAGGGACCTCCATTTTGATACATCGCCCTCCACCCCTGTAGCTTTATGTCGGGCGTCCCCCTGCAGGGGGATTTTCGACGAAAAATGAAAATACACCAAAAAAGGTCAAAACATACTCAACAAATAGTCCCCAGGCTATTTTTGGACTAGTTTAAAACTTTATATGTATATATATATATATATATGTATATATAACTTTTCGTCGAAAATCCCCCTGTAGGGGGACATCGCCCTCCACCCCTGTAGCTGCTGCAAGCGGGCAACACGTTTCTGCGCGGCGCGACGGCGAGAGGCCCACTTTGGCGAAGGAGCCGCCCTCCATCCTCGCAGCTGCTGGAAGCCGTCAGAGCCGAGGTTGCGCAGCGCGACAGCGATGTGGTTCTGAATGAAACAAGAACCAATTTTGACTTCAACAGGCCGGTTTTTGACTTCAACAAACTTGTCTTTGAATTCAAGAACCGCTTTTTTTGGGGAATTCAAAAAAGAAATTCTTGAAGTCGAGAAGCACTCTGTTTCTTGAAATCGAGATTTTTTTGGGAATTCAAACAAGAATTTCTTGAAAGCCGGTTTTTGAATTCAACAAACTTGTCTTTGAATTCAAGGACCGTTTTTGGGGGGAATCCCACCAGCCCTCTGGGCGTCGGTGGTTTAGGGCGTTTCCTCTTCCACCTCTCCCTCTTCCCCTTCGGGGAGGGGTTTACCCCTCCCCCTACCCCCTCCCCACTGACCTGGACAGGAGGGGCGGGGAGCGGTCAGAGCGTCCAAGATGGCCCAGGACGGCTCCAAGAGGGCCTCAGAGAGCCCAAGATCGCCTCCAAGATGGCTCAAGATAGCGCAAGATGCCTGAAGATGGTTCAGAAGACGCTCCAACACGTTCCAAGACCGCTCCAAGATGGTTCCAAGTGCCCACATTAGAGTGCCCTCAAAAGGCCGAAACGCTTCAAAACTCTAGGGAAAATCAATGTTTTTGGTGTTCTCACTTTTTCGCTTCCGAAGCCCATCCGAGGCGTCAAGATGGCGCCAAGATGTCCCAACTGGGCCCCAACAGGGGCCCAAGAGAGCCTCAAGACTGCCTCAATAGCGTCCAAGAGCGCTCCAAGAGCGATCCAAGAGGGGTCCAGGAAGCGATTTTAGACAGTCTGGAGGGGTAACGCTAATTAAAGCTCTGCTCTTCTTTGATAGATTTGCTCCAAGATGCCCCCCCAGAGCGCCCCGATGGCGTCTAAAAGGACCCCAGACGCCCAAAAACTGCTTCAAAATAAATTCAATTGAGCGCTCGCGCGGGACGCGAAGCCCATGTAGAGGCACCCAAGACACTCTAAGAGGCGTCCGGGACCGCCAAGAGGCCCCCAAGACGCTCCAAGAAGCCTCCCCTGGGGGACCCTTCCTCTGTGTGCTGCCCGCTTCCCTGCTCGAGGCAATTCCTCTGCGCATCGTTTCTGGATGGGCTGGTGGGGATTCGCGAAGCGTCAACAATTCAAAACAACATATTTTCTTGAAGTCGAGAAGCAATCTTTTGAATCCAGACACCAGCCTCGTTTTGAAACGGCGCCGCCCTCCGTCCTGGTAGCTGTTGCAGGCGCTTGGGCGACACTCCGATGTTGGAAGCACCCGCCTCCGTTCCTGGCTCTGCTGCCACTGTTTCTAGCACATGTGCGCGGCGCTCCCCTCCTCCTCGTCCTCCTCCTCCTCCTCGTCCTCCCCCTCCTCCTCCTCCTCCCTCCTCCTCCTCCTCGTCGTCCTCCTCCTCCTCCTCCTCCTCCTCCCTCCTCCTCGTCCTCCTCCTCCTCCTCCTTCCCCTCCTCGGGGGAGAGCCCCATTTTGAAGCTTGCCCCTTTCATCCGTGTAAGGGTTGAACGCCTGCGGCTCCAGAACCAGAAGTGGCGGGAAATCTCAGGCGAAACGCCCAGCCCGCTCTACCGACACGTCTGGGGCTGCGATAGGGAGGAGCTACTCGGGAAAAAGGATTAAGGATGAGGAGGAGGAGCAGGAGGAGGAGGAGGAGGAGGAGGAGGAGGAGGAGGAGGAGGAGGAGGAGGAGGAGGAGGAGGGTGGAGGAGGAGGAGGAGGAGGAGAAGGAAGGGAAGGAAGGGAAGGGAGGAGAGAATTAGGTGCTCCTCCCTCCCCCCCGCTTCCCTCTCCTTTCGACTCCATGTGCGCAGTCTTGCATTCTCCCGTCCTGAGAAACAATTTAACGTCCGCTCTTCCTGGCGGCGTTGGCCGCCAGGGAGGAGGAGGAGGAGGAGGAGGAGGAGGAGGAGGAGGAGGAGGAGGAGGAGGAGGAGGAGGAGGAGGAGGAGGAGGAGAAGAAAGAGCAGCAGGAGAGGAGGGGGGGGTCGAAGACCGAGGACCGAGGTTGTTGGACGTGTTCCGGATCTTGTGAAGCCCCTCTGGAAGCCCCTGGGGACCTCTGAAGCCCCAAGGGACCTCTGGACCCCTCGGTGAGGGAGGAGGATAAGCAGAAGTTGGGGGAGTTTTGGAAGGAGAGGAATTGAGCATTTTGGATTTCTGGTTGGCCTCAAAGCTGCATGGCTGCATTTGTGTATGTGCGGTGCTAGATTGAGCTACCCTGGACTGCGCCAGAATAGCTCTTGAGCGAAAGCGAGTGCAGGCGCGTAGTCAATCAACTTGGGCGATCCTTTCTGGCGTGGTGAAGAGATCGACGTGGCTCCGAGGGCCTTCCTGGCCCGGTCTGTTCGGGCTTGACCCCGCGAAGGCCTGGCGCCTGTGTATGAACATATCTGAACACGCCTACGCGATGGCATGGCGTCGATGAAAACCGAGTGATCTTCACCTACTTTGGAAGTGTGCTTGTACTGGTCAACAAAAAGCAAACAACTGGAGGAGAGGAGGAGGAGGAGGAGGATGAGGAAGAGGAGGAGGAGGAGGAGGAGGAGGAGGAAGAGGAGGAGGAGGGGTATGTGCTACATAATCAGGCCTGCTATCCACGGCCAGGGATCTTCTCTTGCACCCAGTGCCAGCGAAAAGCAAAAGGGTGGATTCTCCTCGCTCGGCTTGGCTTGGCTTCGGTTGCCGCACCTTGGCGCTCCAGGGAGTCTCTGGGACTCTTTCAATGAGGCGCATCTGATGGAAAAAGCCCTGAGGACCGTAGATCTCCCCAGAACTCCGACGTCGTGACTTGTTTCCTTGTTTCACAACGTGGATGCCGGGAGGTCTGGATCTTTCCCCAGGAGCAGCCCTCGATCCTGGGCGGCTTTCCTCCGGCGGGCCAGGCGCCTGGCAAAAGGTTCCGAGAGGCCGAAAACGGCCACAAGCCGGTCATCGTGTTCTTGTCGCGACGAGAAGATGTGGTCCCCGAGGGGACCTCGACCGCTTCCTTGGGACCTCGACCGCTTCCCTGGGACCTCGACCGCTTCCCTCGGACCAACAACTCTCACCCCGAGTTGTTTTTCAACGGTTCCGTGGCCAGGGGACGGCCCATGGAGGCCGAATGCGTAAAGCAACCTGCCCGTTTTGGTTATTTGTTTTTTTTTGGGAGGGGGGCGACGCCTGGATCCGAGGGACCCCTCGATCTCCACCATCCACGCTCTCCGCGCGGCAGGTGCCGCCGAAGCCGCAGGGGCGGTCTCGGCGGCCGGGTTCGTCCGCGCCGCGGCTGCGCCTGCTGCTCGGAAGGGGGACGGGGTGGGGGAGGAAGACCCGTTGTCGTCTTGGTCCTCTGCTCTGCCTCTCAATTGCAGCGTGCGCTGCTTCTTCGATCCCTCGCACATTCTTTTGCTATTTCGCCTTCCATTCCCTCGGCGACTGCAGCTGTCGCACGTGGCCAAGGCCACCTCGCTCGAGTCGTCCGCTACGACCAGTAGTTGTTAGAGCTTGAGCAGCGCAAGTAGTAAGAGAAGAGGGAGAACGAGGGACTACGTTTTTTTTTCTGTTTGAAATTTTAGTTTTGCGGGGACGCACTGAGGATGGGCAACGTGTTTTCGTTTGCAAATAAGGCCACCTCGCCCCATTCGTCCGCTACGACTAGTAGTTGCTAGAGTCTGGACAGCGTGCAGAAGGAGAGATGAGGGAGGAGGGGGACTACGTTTTCTCAATCTTCGCTGTGCGGGGGCGCGCTAAGTAGTGGCAACCTTCAGCCAACAACTCCGAGGTGCTGCCGATACCGATTCGGCTCCACGCAACCTTGCCCCAGAGGGTGAGGATGATGATGATGATGATGCTGATGATGATGATGATGATGATGATGATGATGATGATGATGATGATGCTGATGCTGATGATGATGATGATGATGATGATGATGCTGATGCTGATGATGATGATGAGGAGGAGGAGGAAGAAGAAGAGGACGAGGAGGAGGGGGGCCCTGACACTCAGGGTCTGCCAGCTTTTGGCGAGCTGCACTGCTGATCTGGCAGAAGAGGAGAGGAGGAGGAGGAGGAGGAGGAGGAGGAGGAGGAGGAGGAGGAGGGAGGAGGAGGAGGAGGAGGAGGAGGAGGGAGGAGGAGGAGGAGGAGGGTGGAGGAGGAGGAGAAGACGCAAGGGGGCAGGAGGGAGAAGGAGGAAATATGCATGTCGCCCACCCCCCCGTCCTCCTGGCAGGCCCCGCGCTGCCTGAAAGGCTCGTCGAAAGGCAACGGCACGGACGGCTGTATGGTCGCCCCGGTCGCCCCGGGCGCCCGGGAGAGTGCCTGCTCGTCCGCTCTCACGGCGCCTCGCGGCGGAGGAGGGGAGGGGCCAGCGCGTCGACCAAGGCCTTCGAGCAGATGAAACAGTTTTGTTTGTGTTTTGCGTGCGCCTTGTTTGTGTTGTATATGTCTGTGTACATACATGCATGCATGGCTGTATGTATCCACTTACGTAAGTAGATCTGTCTGTCTGTCTGTCTGTCTGTCTGTCTGTGTATGTATGTCTGTATGCATGCATGCATGCGTGTATGCATATACATACACGCGGTTTCCGACGACATTTGGCTTACACGCCACCTGCATACCATACATATGCATTTATGTGTGCGTGCCTGTATGCATGCATGTAAGTTTGTATGTTTGTGTGTTTGTTCGTTTGTATGTATGTTCGTAGGTAAGTATGTATATATGAACGTGTGTATGTATGTGTATATGTATGCGTAGATACATGTGGGCATGCAAATATCTGGTTCCATTTTGTTTTTTTATCTTTCTCTCTCTCTCTCTCTCTTTCTACCTCAGTGTTTCGCCAGTCGCGGCGTCCCTTCTTCAATTTTGGCCTAAAGGGGCCACTTTCACACCTCAGGTCCATCAAACATGTATCTGGGAGGCAAAACTACCGTGGGGACTCCCCCAACGTCTTTAGGCCACCTGGGCGTGGTGACGCCTAGAAGCACTGCGTGGGCAAGGCGATTGCGGAGTGCCGTTCGGGCTGGAGATGTTGAGGTGCCTTGGAGAAGGCGTTGTGAAGGCCTCCTCGGGCGGGAGATCTGGGTGAGGAAGTATCGGGCCCTCCTGTGCGAGAAAACTCCCCAGGGGGATACACTGATGGATGCATACTGCACGCAGGATCATGAAGCATTCGGGTAAAATGGTCGTTGTTGTTGCTGCTGCTGCTGTTGGTATGGTTGTTGCTGCTGACCTCCCATTCTTCAAAAGTAACAATTGTTGACCCCCCCACCAGTGCACATTGTATGTTTAAATTGAAGTGTCCCCCTTGGGGCTCGTACCTTGTTTTCTATTAGTGAAGATCTTCCTGCTCAAACTGGGCCCCTGCCCCTCCCCGGCTACTGCAATAACGACGTCTTCCGCCTGATACTTCCTCACAATGTAATCCAAAATCGAGCTCTCGCACAGGACCTCCTCACAGTGTATGCAGGAATCGCGCTCTCGCGTGGGTCTTCCTCGCAATGTATTCAGACGCCGCTCCCTCGACACTCAGAAATCACGCTCTCGCTGTGGCCTTTCTCATTCTTTCCTTAGGAATCGCGCTATCGCTAAAGACTTCCTCGCGATTCATGCAAGACGCACGCTTCTCCAACCCGCCTGCTCGATCTGGCCACCTGGGCCCGCCTGCCGGACCCGCCTGTTAGGGTCTGCCCGCCCGATTTGCCCGTCTGGTTCTGCCACGTGCTTTCTGCTCCTGGCCCCCCTCCTGCTAATTTCTCTCGTGCTCCATCCTTCTCCCTTCCCCTTCCATCCGTCCTCCCGTCCCCTGTTTTACGGGCTGCGCTACATGCGCGTGGCAGGTAAGGAAGATATGCCCCCAAAAAGGTAGGATCGAAGAAGACGAGGTCGGGTATCGAGGGTTTGGGATGTACGTGTTGAATGGCACGCGATCAGATAGAAACGAGCAATTTCAAAATGATGATGCTTGCTGTTGTTGCTCTTGCTGTTGCTGTTGCTGTCGTTGTTGTTGTTGTTGTTGCTGTTGAACTTTCATTTCTAAAGAACAATTGTTGTTGGCCCCCCTCCCTGGTAACGATTTCATTCATCAGTTTAAGTGCTTGTCCCACGGCTCGCGCCCGTTTTTTTTGTCGTTTTGTTCCTTCTTCTTGGTCTCATTCTATTCTATTTGAAGAAAACAGCGGATAGCGAGGTGTCACCAATCTGTGTTGTTGGGCCCCTGTTTATAACAACAGCGGCTCCCGCCCGATACTTCCTCACAATTTATTGCAAGTCGCGCTCTCGCGCGGGACTTCCTCACAATGTATGCAGACATCGCCCTTTCGCGTGAGTCTTCCTCGCAATTTATTCAGACGTCGCGCCTGGGACACTCAGGAATCGCGCTCTCGTTGTCGATTTCGTAACCATGTATTTGGAAATCGCGCTGTCGCTAGATACTTTTTCGCGATTCGTGCAAAACGCACGCTTCTCCAACCCGCCTGCTCGATCTGGCCACCTGGGCCCGCCTGCCGGACCCGCCTGTTAGGGTCTACCCGCCCGATCAGCCCGTCTGGTTCTGCCACGTGTTTCCTGGCACCCGTCCTGCTACTCTCTCTCGTGCTCCATCCTCTTCCCTCCCCTCGTCCCTTTCTTCCATCCGTCCTTTCTTTCCCTGCCTTAAGGGGTTGCACGACATACAGGTTGCTGATAAGAAAGATATGCCACCAAAGGGGTACGATCGAATACGAAGTAAACGGGTGTCGAGGGTTTGGGATATACGTGTTGAAGGGCACTCGAGCAGATAATATCGAACCGTCTTAAAATGATGCATATTATTTGCTGAATCTTAACTTCTGTATTCTAATGTTTGAACATGTATCATATCTGGACCGCATACATATGCACTGGCGATCTCCTCTGAAATCGAAGCTTATGCCCAAGCGTTCCAGGGGTGCGCCAAATACGCCCCACCCAACAACAACAGCAACAACGACAACAGCAACAACAACAACAGCAACAACAACAAGCACACCAACACTAATAACAGCAACAACAGAGACAACAGCAACAACAACAGCAACAACGACATCAGCAACACCAACAACACCACTACCAACATCAACAAACATTTTAACACTAATCGCTCTTATCTGCTCGCCTGCCATTCAACACGTATATCCCAAATTCTCGATCGCACCCCCTCGGGTGTACCTTTGTTACCTGCAACGTGTATTTCGTGCTGCCCCTGAGGCAGGGGAAGAGGGGACGGATGGAAGGAAGGGGCAAGGGGAAATGAGGATGATGGAGCACGAAAGAGAGAAAGAGAGAGAGAGAGAGAGAGAGAGAAAGAGAGAGCGAGAGAGAGAGAGAGAGATAGAGAAAAAAAACAAGAGAAAGAGAGAGAAGAGAGAGAGAGAGAGAGAAGAGAGGAGAGAGAGAGAGAGACATACAGCAATTGAGAGGGATACATATATATATATATATATATATAGAGAGAGAGAGAGAGAGAGAGAGAGAGAGAGAGAGAGAGAGAGAGAGAGAGAGAGAGAGAGAGAGAGAGAGAGAGAGAGAGAGAGAGAAAGAGAGAGAAAGAGAGAGAGAGAGAGAAATAGAGAGAGAGAGAGAGAGAGAGAGAGAGAGCGAGAGAACGAGATAGAGAGAAAGAGAGAGAGAGAGAGAGAGACAGAGAAATATAGAGAAACAACAGAAAAGAGGGGGCCAGGAACAGAAAACAAATGGCAGAACCAGACGGGTCAGATCGGGCGGATAGGCCCTAACGGGCGGGTCGGGAAGGCGGGCCCAGGTGGCCACGTCGAGCGAGCGGGTTGCTGAAGCGTGCGTTTTGCATACGTCGCGATGGAATCTCGTGTGATAGCGCGATCTGCAACGGGGCCACGAATGGCAGCGCTGGGGCCACGAAAAAACGGGGCCACGAATGGCAGCGTTGGGGGCCACGAAGGGCTGCAACGGGGCCACGAAAAGCAGCGGGGGGGGCCACGAAACGCTGCAACGGGGCCACGAAAAGGTAGCGATGGAGGCCACGAAGCGCTGCAACGGAGCCACGAAGGGCAGCGAAGGGGCCACGAAGGGCTGCAACGGGGCCACGAAGGGCAGCGAGATCCCGATTCCTAAGTAAGCTGTGAGGGAGTCCTAAATGTGAACGCGACTCCTGGGTGCTTGAGTGTCAGGATCGCGGCGCTGGAATAAATTGTGGGGAATTCCAGCGCAAGGGTGCGACTCTTCAGCAAAATACAAGCAAATCTCCAGCGGGAGCGCGACTCCAGAGCGCCGAGAGAGCGATGATTCCTCTATACATTGTAATGAAGTCCCAAGCGAGAGCGCGACGCCTGAGTAACATGCGCACAAGTCTCAAGCGGGAGCGGGGGTCCTGGCCAAATTGTAACGAAGTCTCCGGCGGGAGCCGTTGTTGTCGTAACCTGAGGGCCACGGGCAAAATTTGATCCCTGTGACTTTCCTTGATTGAAAAACAATGTGCGAACCCTGGGGGAAGCACTTCAAATGAACAACACAGTGGTCACCGGAGGGAGGGATCACCCATACTTATATTCTACACTCGTGAGAGTTCAACAACAATAGCAACAGCAACATCAACAACAACAACATCAGCAACAACAGCAACAAACACAACAACAACAACAACGACCCCATTTGATACGTCTCCCTTTTCTACTCGGGACCGGGGCTATTGCTCGCCGCCGAGAGCCGGCTTTCCCACAAAACCGGCGCTCCCGCTCGATTCATCCTTGTCCTTTACTCAGGACCAGCGCTCCCGCCTCGGCGCTGCAAGGCCCCCCCCCCGCAAACAACGACGTTCCCGCTCGATTGTTCCTCCCTTTTTGCTCAAGACTCTGAGAGGCCCTGAGGCTTCCCTCTTAGAAACAATCTGGTGGGACACCCTACATCAGCACTGGTGCGTTCGCGTCGGCGTCGGCTGCATTTCCTCTGACAGCTAAGCTTACGCTCGAGCGTTTCAGCATTGCGCTGAAACTGCCCCCCCAACAGCAGAAACGCTCCCGCCCGATACGTCCTCCTTTTCTACTCGGGACCGGGGCTCTTGCTCGCCGCCGACAGCAGGTTTCCCAGAAAGCCTGCGCTCTCGCTCGACACCCCCTTGCTTTTTACTCAGGACTGGAGCTCCCGCCTCGGCGCCGCAGAGGGCCCCCGTGCTCGATACTTCATTTGCTTTCGTTCAAGACTCCCAGAGGCCCTGGGTTTCCCCTCATCTCCCGTGCCGATCCTCAAGAATGCAACATGCACTGTCGGAGGTCTGCGCCAGCGCTTCCCTGGCGCGCTCCGCGTGCCAGGGGCGGCCCGGGAATCCGCGGCGGCGACCCCGTCG